GGGTGGTTTCCTGATAGGTCAGATGTAAGGAAGGTTTGCCTTGTATGGTGTATGGATGCTTCCAATGTAAGGCAGGTTTGACTTATGTGGTGTATGAATAGTTCAGATGTAAGGAAGACTTCAATCATGTGTGGCACCCTGATGGTCTAGATGTTAAGGAAGATTTGACTTGAATTGTGCCTGACAATTTCAAAATTAAAAAAGATTTGTGTCATAACCTTATGTTTTAGACTGAAAGGAAGATTTGACTTAAATTGTGCCTGACAATTTCAAAATTAAAAAAGATTTGTGTCATAACCTTATGTTTTAGACTGAAAGGAAGATTTGACTTGAATTGTGCCTGACAATTTCAAAATTAAGAAAGATTTGTGTCATAACCTTATGTTTTAGACTGAAAGGAAGATTTGACTTGAATTGTGCCTGACAATTTCAAAATTAAGAAAGATTTGTGTCATAACCTTATGTTTTAGACTGAAAGGAAGATTTGACTTGAATTGTGCCTGACAATTTCAAAATTAAGAAAGATTTGTGTCATAACCTTATGTTTTTAGACTGAAAGGAAGATTTTGACTTGAATTGTGCCTGACAATTTCAAAATTAAGAAAGATTTGTGTCATAACCTTATGTTTTAGACTGAAAGGAAGATTTGACTTGAATTGTGCCTGACAATTTCAAAATTAAGAAAGATTTGTGTCATAACCTTATGTTTTAGACTGAAAGGAAGATTTGCTATGGTATCAAATATAATAACAAGTCTAATGAGCATGCTAGAAATCAACACAAAATGTACTGAGATAAATATATTCAGAATGTATTACTTGTAACAAAGTAAAATAAATATTGGATTTCATAAATAAAACAAACAGTACACTGAAATATAGTTTCAGTTTCAAATAAAATATATACTGTAATTTCAATTTTGTGTAAATAAACTGACAACTTGGTATAAATAGTTTTACGCACAGAATTATATAATTGCATATTTAAAAAAAATTGAATTCTGATAGAACTAACTTCCCCATACCAAACAGTTTTTTGTTTTTTTAAACATATCTGATACATTCAGTTTAGGTAAATGAAATGGTTTTGGATTTGCAACCAACATATAGACATTCTGGTACATTTAGTTTGTGTAGATAAACCAGCCTGGGTTCATACAAAGAAATATCTTCTTCTAGTTCTTTTGTATTATATCTTCAAATGGGTGTTTGCATGATGTTTTGTGGTTTACAGCTAGGCTATGATATATGTGGCTTTTGGACCAACAAATCCAATTTCAGTAAACACTGCATCAATAGCCTTTTATGGCACGTGTGTTAAATCTGTAGGTAGCACCAATCATTGAATACACCTAATTTAACTGTCCCCTGGTACCAAAAGTTAAGGGCTCCCCCCCCCCCTCCCCACCCTTCCCCAAATGACAGCCTCAGAGCCTGCAGTGCAAACAAAAAATGACCCAGTCTAGTATATTTAGTTTCTGCTGACCTGTTGACCTGCTGACCTGTTGACCTGCTGACCTGTTGGATTTTGCAGCCAAAGTTGTCTATGAAATGAGGCAGCCCACATGCCAACACTCATTGGATGAATTTTTTAAAATACATGATAGGTTAGAGTGCTATTAATCTTAGCCTGTCACATGCAACCTGGCAACAATGTCCTGCCACTGCAGGAGAAGCAACATGTAAAAAATTATTGCACAGAAGTTTGCCCAGTTTTTTACCACAATCTTCTTCTTCTTCTTCACTTCCTCTTTTACCGCTGTGGGTGTCGAGGGAGATATAAGGTTCTGTTTCTAGCTCTTCTGGCTGCCTCGACCATAGGCACATCGCGCTGTTGTAGAGTCTCTCTGATGTTATCCTTCCATCTTGTTCTTGGTCTACCCCGTGCTCTACGTCCTTCTCTTTCCATGTATGCTTTGTATGGTATGGTGTCACAAGGCATTCTCTCTAAGTGGGCAAACCATTTCATTTGCTGTCTTTGTATGTAATCCAGAATTGGTTCTGTGCCGACTTGTTCTCTTATGATCTCATTTCTGATCTTATCTCTTATGGTCACTCCTACAGCCCTTCTCAGACATCTCATTTCCGTGGTTACTAATTTTCTTTTATGGTTTGTTGTGAGTGACCATGTCTGGCACTGGAAGCACAGAGTTGGAATAAATATGCTTTGAATAAGATGTCTCTTTGTGCTGATTGGGATTGTCTTATGCTGTAAGAGGGGTGCTAGCTGTCCCAATACTTGGTTTGCTTTACTGCATCTAATGTCAATTTCTTTATCCAATTTCCCATCTTCGGTAAATGTAGTTCCCAGATATTTAAACTCAGATGCCTGTTTAATGCCTTTGTATTCTATTGCTATGTTTAGATCTGTCTTCTTTTTTCCTATTGACATTACTTCTGTCTTTTCAGTGTTGATTCTCATATTATTTGTTTTACATTCTTCATTCATGGATGTTAGATGTTGTTGCAATTTCATGGCTGTATCTGCTATCAAGGCCTGGTCATCTGCAAAGAGTAATTCGTTGATCTTACTAAGATCTTCATTCATGGGCTTGGCATTCTTGCATATACTGTCGATGTAGGTGATAAACAGCGGTGGTGATAAGACACACCCCTGTCTTACTCCAGATGTCACTGTGAAAGGATGAGATGTTCCCTGATTTATTCTAACTACACTTCTACAATCCCTGTATAAACTTTTGCACACTTTGATGAGGTGTTCGCTTACTCCATATCTTGCCATTATTTTCCATAATAATTGTCTGTCGACTCTGTCAAATGCCTTCTCCTGGTCTAAGAATGCCACAAATAAGTTCTTATTGTTTTCAATGTTCTTTTCTATTAACTGTTTAAGTGTGAAGATTGCATCTGTGCAGCTTCTATTTTTTCCTAAATCCCATCTGTTCTTCTGCCAGCTGTGGTTCTATCACTGGTCTCAGTCTTGTTTTACTACAATCAAACACATATATTATTAATATGTACACTTTTTATTTTATGACACAACACAAATTCTCTTCCACTGGAACATGTATAGTTCTTATAATGACAGGCGTATACTCAGTCACCAGCTCCTAAAAAATTAGGAATAAACAGCATCACTGGAAAATATGTGTATGGTTTCTACAACATAAGATGTAAACTATATCATTGGAAAATATATTTATGGTTTCCACAACATAAGATGTATACTAAATCACTGGAAAATGTGTGTATGGTTTCTACAACATAAGATGTAAACTAAATCATTGGAAAATATATGTATGGTTTCTACAACATAAGATGTAAACTAAATCATTGGAAAATATATGTATGGTTTCTACAACATAAGATGTAAACTAAATCATTGGAAAATATGTGTATGGTTTCTACAACATAAGATGTAAACTAAATCATTGGAAAATATATTTATGGTTTCCACAACATAAGATGTATACTAAATCACTTGAAAATATGTGTATGGTTTCTACAACATAAGATGTAAACTAAATCATTGGAAAATATATTTATGGTTTCCACAACATAAGATGTATACTAAATCACTGGAAAATGTGTGTATGGTTTTCAAAACATAAGATGTATACTAAATCACTAGGAAATATGTGTATGGTTTCCACAACATAAGATGTAAACTAAATCACTGGAAAATGTGTGTATGGTTTTCACAACATAAGATGTATACTAAATCACTGAAAAATATGTGTAGGGTTTCCACAACATAAGATGTATACTAAATCACTGGAAAATATGTGTACGGTTTCCACAACATAAGATGTACACTAAATCACTGGAAAATATGTGTACGGTTTCAACAACATAAGATGTATACTAAACCACTGGAAAATAAGTGTACAGTTTCCACAACATAAGATGTATACTAAATCACTTGAAAATATGTGTATGGTTTCCACAACATAAGATGTAACTAAATCAATGGAAAATATGTGTATGGTTTCCACAACATAAGATGTATACTAAATCACTGGAAAATATGTGTATGGTTTCCACAACATAAGATGTATACTAAATCACTGGAAAATATGTGTATGGTTTCCACAACATAAGACGTATACTAAATCACTGGAAAATATGTGTATGGTTTCCACAACATAAGATGTATACTAAATCACTGGCATAAATGCATTTAGTTATCACAGCATTAGGTATATACTTAATCACAGGAATACATGTGAACAGTTCTCACTAGATGTACACTTAATCACAGGAATACATGTGAATAGTTCTCACTAGATCTATACCCAATAAATGGAATATATGTGAACAGTTCTCACTAGATGTATACTTAATGAATGCAATATATCTGAACAGTTCTTACTAGAGGTGTTTCCACCTCGTTGTATACTTAATCAATGGAATATATGTGAACAGTTCTCACTAGATGTATACTTAATCAATGGAATATATGTGAATAGTTCTTACCAGAGGTGTTTCCACATCGATGTGGCCGAAGGGCCTCAATGTCCTGATGACCCCAAGATCTAGGCCGATGATGTTAGTGAAGCTACTGGTAGAGTCCCCAATGTCGGACAGGTCAAGAGGTAGGGACCAGACAAGAAGAGACATAAAATTGCTGCCTTGAAGGTAGACTGGGGTCAGTCACAGACTTAGAAAGGCATCAAAACATCAACAAATGCTTGCTAAAGTCAGATGTATGGATACACAGGCTTGATGACGCAGTGAAACATAACTCAATTCATGACAACAAGAAATGCATAACTAGGAGTGATGATTTCTTCATGAAAAAAGAACCTCAATTAAGAAGTTGAAATAATTGTGAACAAATAATTAGAAAACAAAGTAAATGTCCCTTTTATAAATTACAAACACTGATAATGGGAGACATAAAATAGCTTAAGACTGTTAAAATTACAGATATAATCTTTTGCAAATATATGGAATGTACATAACATATTAGTTTTTGGTTTAGAAATCAACATAAAAATGGATTTAAAAAAAAAACACACACACAAGAAAGAAGCATCTTTAAACAGAAACTGCAACTGGAATGATGATCAGGAAAATTAGGATGCCAAATGCTACACTAGCATAGATAAACCACACAGCAATCTTTAACTCTTTCTGTGCCATTCCCATTAGCCCCTTGGACTGGTGCTTCCTGCCGCGTCTGGCATACCTCACAGAAAGTAGGCCAGTCACAAAGCACAGGATGACACTGATGTACGAAGCCACCATCACCTGCTCAAATGTCTTCCATGGCCGAGGCACCAGATCAGCTAGTGGGATATGACGTAGATTAATGTCACTTTCTGTTGTGTCCCTGTATGGATTTTCTGAACTGTTTTCAAAATCTGGCTCAGAGTATGCCAGGAAATCATCCTCACTGTGACCTCTTGTGTGACCAGCTCCAATCAGGGATGCCGAAACAAATTCTTGGTCCACATCTTGAGGAGCTTTGTAGGTCTGTGAGATCGGCACAGGATCTTCCTGACTCATTTCTGATACTGGCTCGAACTGGAAGTTTGATCAGCTGAAGTGAAGATGGGAGATATTGTCTGGATATATATTCTATACTTACTAATTTAATAAATAGACAGAACCAAGTGGATATAATTCACTTATTAGAAGCTTAATCTTTGAAAAAAAAAAAAGGAAACCCTCATTAAGGTCTATAAATTTGTAAATACATTTTTTTGCACACCTTTTAAATTTTTAATTCTTTTTGTTCTAAGCGTTCACTGGTTGTAAACCTTGATGAAAAGTCTGGTCTGTAGTGTCACTGCTAGACTCTGTCTGGTCTGTTGTGTCACTGCTAGACTCTGGTCAGGTCTGTTGTGTCACTGCTAGACTCTGTGTGGTCTGTTGTGTCACTGCTAGACTCTTGTCTGGTCTGTTGTGTCACTGCAGGACTCTGTCTGGTCTGTTGTGTCACTGCTGGACTCTTGTCTGGTCTGTTGTGTCACTGCTGGACTCTGTCTGGACTGTTGTGTCACTGCTAGACTCTGTCTGGTCTGTTGTGTCACTGCTAGACTCTGTCTGGTCTGTTGTGTCACTGCTGGACTCTTGTCTGGTCTATTGTGTCACTGCTAGACTCTGTCTGGTCTGTTGTGTCACTGCTAGACTCTGTCTGGTCTGTTGTGTCACTGCTAGACTCTGTCTGGTCTGTTGTGTCACTGCTGGACTCTTGTCTGGTCTGTTGTGTCACTGCTAGACTCTGTCTGGTCTGTTGTGTCACTGCTGGACTCTTGTCTGGTCTGTTGTGTCACTGCTGGACTCTTGTCTGGTCTGTTGTGTCACTGCTGGACTCTGTCTGGTCTGTTGTGTCACTGCTAGACTCTGTCTGGTCTGTTGTGTCACTGCTGGACTCTTGTCTGGTCTGTTGTGTCACTGCTGGACTCTTGTCTGGTCTGTTGTGTCACTGCTGGACTCTTGTGTGGTCTGTTGTGTCACTGCTATCTCTTTTCTGGTCTGTTGTGTCACTGCTATCTCTTTTCTGGTCTGTTGTGTCACTGCTATCTCTTTTCTGGTCTGTTGTGTCACTGCTATCTCTTTTCTGGTCTGTTGTGTCACTGCTGGACTCTTGTCTGGTCTGTTGTGTCACTGCTGGACTCTTGTCTGGTCTGTTGTGTCACTGCTGGACTCTTGTCTGGTCTGTTGTGTCACTGCTGGACTCTTGTCTGGTCTGTTGTGTCACTGCTGGACTGACTGGTCTGTTGTGTCACTGCTGGACTCTGTCTGGTCTGTTGTACTATTGATGGACTCCGTCAGAAATTTAGTGCTGCATGAAGGGTCTTTGCGGCAAAGTGGTCAAGTCATTTGCTTCAAGCTCGAAGGTAAAGGGTTCATTTTACAGCTACGACATTCAGTCAATGAGTGCAATTTTTACGGAGATTCATGGGGATTACTGCCAGATCTATGGAGTTTGTGCTCTGTGCAAAGCTCACGGCAGGCGGCTAGCCATTCTCTGGAGAGAGACCAAGCCATATGGGTTTGCAGGCCAAACATTATGGACCGCGGAGTAAATTACAATAGACAGTAAAGTTCATACTAGACTTCTTCATTTTCATCAAACAGATCTTGACTCAGTCTTGCTGAATTTCTTGAGCATCCGGGCAGATGAGACACTGCGCTTCTGGCTCCTAGCCCACATCATTTACACTTACACAGAAAAGCAGATGTACAAAAAGGGTCGCTGGGATCAGGGTTCAGTGCAAGAGAACAGAGCATCCATACCTTGAAAGTCAACGAAATGGACGAACAGATTTGTATGCCCTATGTGACACAGCCCAACAGGCCAATGACAATGATGATGAAGATGTTTTCAGTAAAGGTAAAGCTTCCATTTTACTCTAGGCTTTTTTTTTTTCAGCTGGGGGGGGGGGGGGGTGGTAAGCATTTAAGAGTAATTAGGTTAAATAACTAGTATAAGAGCGGCACATACTTAGCAGGATTACAATGTACACTTGGAAACAAAAACAAAAATTCCAGAAATTATCTAAATCTCTCACAACATGCCATGGGAGATAACTCCCGCTGTTAGTTTGACTAAATACCAGAAGTTATCGATGGCGTTACATTTGATTTCTGGCTATGGCAACCCAAGGCCTACTCTGTTAAATAGTAAAAATAGGACACAAGACGCCACCATTTGTGCGTAAGGCAGTTCTTGTTTGTGCCGACCGTTGCTGATGGCCATTGTATACCTGGGCACCACCTTTAAGTGGCAAGTGATACGGAACATAACCTGCACAAGGAATTGGACTCTATGAAGGGTTTATGTTTATTCAACGGATCAACACCATGGCACACGGGTGTAACCCATAAGTATTCCGTTCTACTTCTAACTCAAGCCTGAGTCTGAGGAATCTCAGCGCAGTGCAAGAACTCGGTTGCACCGGCGAGGATCCTGAAATACTTAGCGTAGATTTTAAAACTCAAAATTTTGCCCCGGCAGCGCTGTTGGGCTACTCTTTTTCGATTTCCAACTGCCAAGGTATTTGTTACGTACGCAACAGTACACACAGTCAGCGTTGGAAACGTCCAAAAAGCAATGGCAAACTAATGACGTAAATATGCCTAGAAAAACCACAGCATCTAAAAAAAATGCAGGGGTTGGTTCTGCAATGTCATGTTTTTTTCACGTGGACGTCAAGTAATCGGATGTTAAACAGATGATAATTTTTAATTTTTATTTCTGTATTCAAAGGACTGGCACTATTAACCGCGCGACGCAAATGTATATGGTGAAGGGGAATGTGAGCAGCAATGGATGTGTCTCGAGTGCTGTGAAGATAATCCACCTTAACTCAGAAGAAATGCAACAAGGACATATAATGAAACTGCTTCTGGCGTCACTGGAATTGGAACTCTTCGCTGACTGTTGAAGATAACATAAAGAATGAGGGTGCTTTTCTTTAGCCGACAACAAAAGACGTCAAGGAACAGTCCAATATTTTAGAGGGTGGTGAGAGCGGGTTTTGCGTGCTTTCTGTGCTTAACCCTAACCCTAACCTAACCAAACCTATAAGCTTAATCTACCACACCTGAAATATTTGACTGGTCCATGACCTATGTATTTCATTGATTGTGGTCGGCTAATAAGAAAGTACCAGAATAAGTGCTTCTGTCCCCATAGCTGTGATGTAGGTTCTTAAACTCAATTAAAAGAAAATTCCACGACGTACACGTTTTTAAACATGTAGAATTCGCACGGTGTTTAGACCAGCCAAAGGAGGGACAACTCTGGCGACATTCTCAAGTGATGGTGGGTGACTGAACTGATGACATTGAACAGCGAACCAACAGGACGGTGCTTGAACTTGTCTGTGTTTGTAATCTTTGGAATTTATGTTCACTGTCTTTGTTTTGTTTTCCGTTCTTATGACTGTTTTTTTGTACCATGTATATTACTGACCAGTCGAAACATTGCTGAATATAGTAACAATGTAAAAATAATCACTGCGTGATGATGATTATGCAACAAAATCATCAAAATGCTCCGATTTCATCATTTAACTCTTTCAGGAGCACATCTTTTCTGGGGTTTGGACAGCATTAAATTTGAGCGGAATTTTTGTTTTACTGCAACATGACAAAGCTATAACCTTACTGAAGACATCAAATTAATATATCTAAACTAAAAATAAAAGACTGCAGAATAAATATAAACTATTTAGGTGTAATAATTATTAATAATTTAATAATCACACAACATTCAAGGATGTTAGAAGTTGGACACATCATATGAAGATATTTATGCACAAAATTGTGTGCTTCCCACATTGTTTTTTTTTGGTGTGTGCTAACCATGTCTAAGAATTCACATGCCTTCTCTGTCCAGTTATGTATACTATTAACTAGGGCTGTACCGAATAGTGATTTTCACTATTCGGCCGAATACGAATAGTGGGACTATTCGGCCGAATACTGAATAGTTATTGGGTCTACTATTCGGCCTCGAAGAGAATATTCGGTACAGCCCTACTATTAAATAGTCTTTATCTGAAGCAATTAATTTCAATTTAAAATGCTTTGGATGCTATGACCATTTTTGTGATGACATGTCAAATTTTACAACAACCATAATCAGGATAACAGCTGATCGAAACAGATTATCACATTGAAACATTTTGTTGTCTTTATCCTATACCTATTTATTGACACAGGTTTGAAACATGCATTATTAATCATAATATCAAAACTATTGTCACTATCCGGCTTAGATTTAACGACAGAGCAGTATGTACAGCTGTAGGCCTTTTTAAATCATTTGATATAGACAATGGCATACAAATTGTGTCGCATCTAAATAATTTTGTTTTTTAAATCAGAAAGTGACGCAAACACAAGTCGACTTCAGAAAACAAAATTACTTCCTGTCGCTAATCCTAGTTTTTAAAAACATGTTCATACAAATTTGTTTTTCCCACTGACGGAACAAAATTAAAGTGTCTCTATGAAGCGCAAGTATTGCTGGTCAATAATCCGATTGGAATAAATTCAGACGCCATTTAACTGGCGATTGGTCCACAGAGAGTTAATAAATGAGTTCTTTATTGTAACCTGAGTTCATTATTGTAACCTTTCAGTGTGTTCTCCAGTCCACGGGGGACACTAGCGGTAGAGTGCCCCAAACATAGTTTTCCAACGGTTGAATGGGCTATCTGAGATCTGGGATTAGTTCCTTTTGGTTTGTTGGCATCTGAAAGTCGCTGTTTGAGCAACTCATTCACCAGCTGTGAATCTGTTGGTTTCAGAATGCAGTTCCTCTTAATAATGGTGACAACTGGGATACAGGGTATTGAAGACTTATTGGCCGTGAAAGCACACAGGGCTGCAGAATTGTTTAGAGAAAGAGAGCGACATTCTGTAAAGGAAATGCTGATTGATGATGACGACAGGTGTATTTGGTATATCAGTGCACTTACTTTCTGACAACTGGTGTTTATTCTGTCAGTTCTGCCATTTTATGTGGTGACACTTCCTAGATATTTAAA